GGGGTTTCAAGCTTTTAGCATATTGTCAAAAAGTCCTTAGGAATTACAAAAGGGTTCTTCCTTTCTTTTCTTTTGGTCGGTTGTGGGTCTTGAACTTGGCCTGGGCACTGTCCCTCAGCTCTTCAGCTCAAGGCTAGCGCTCTACCACTTGAGCCACAGTGCCACTTCCAGTTTTCTGGTGGTTAATTGGAGATCAGAGTCTCAGGGACTTTTCTGCCAGGCTGACTTTGAACCACAATCCTCAGATCTTAGTCTCCTGAGTAGCTAGGATTAGAAGCGTGAGCCACTGGCACCTGGCAGCCTCATTGTTTTTTGAGACTAGTGTGACTAAAATCCTCTTAAATTTATTTGTAGACCTTCCCCACTCTATATCTGCTCACACTTCATGTATAATCCAGTTCCTCATTTCCTAGGGTTTCCTAGTGGATGTCTGATCACTCTAGCCTGCCTTCAACACAAATTCTGTCAATTCGGTTTAGCTAGAATCTTCACGATTCCTGCTTTTTCCTCTTAGTGATTTTCTATCCACAGACACTACCCTATGTCTGTAAACACCCACTGACCCATGGTGTATTTGAAATGGAGTCTGTTCCTATGGTCTGTGTGTTTGTGTTCTTTCTGCCCCCAAATTGATGTGTTTGAAATTTTAATCTCCAAAATAATGGATGATAGTTGGACACAGACCTTAGGAGGTAATAAGTTTTAAACAGGATTAGAGTTCTTATAAAAGAAACTCCAGAAAGCCCCTCACTCTTTCTTCCACAGAACAGCAAAAAGACAGCTTTCCACAAATGAGGAAGAGGGCCTGAGTCTTAGGAAGAGAGATACACTTAGGCCCCAACACCCACAAGGAGTAAGCTAGAACTTTCAGTTCCTCACTTCAATCCTAAATTCTGCCCACATCCTGCTTTTCTGTGAATCCCCTTTTGTTCCATTTCTGCAGAAAATATTGGCAAGAGAGACTTAATTAGCATTTAATTACATGCACTGTCTCACAAATTCCCCATCTTGGTTCCAAATGACCTTGAAACATAGTCTCCCTATCCAGTCCCTTCCAGGAAAAGCCTTTCCATTTCTTCAAAACCTCCACAATTATGTATGTAACATTTAACCCATTGAATCTTCTACAGCCTTGAGAAGTTCCTCAGATCTGAGAGCTCTGTGTACTTGCCTGCTTGATTGAGCTCTAACAACTCAGTGCATATGCCCTGGAATTTCTTTTCATAGAGACTAAGGACCTTCTGGGTTCTTCTTTTACCAGTGACACCTTTTGGTGACTTCATTGGGAGCTGAGAGAGGGTTGTCGGCCCTTAAAGAGGTAATTTTCCTTTGGAATATTGGTGTCTTGCAAATCTTCCCAAGTCTCTGTAATGTGCTCTGTTCCTTCATCTTCTCCTTTTTCTGATGGCTTAAAAATTAAAAAAAATGTTTGTTGAGTTACATAGAAACCTTAAATGATACTTGTTTTAATAACTTTACAATTCAGTGACTTTTAGCACATTTATAGAGTTGTACAGCCTCAATTCAATCCTGTATTTCCTTTTTCATAAACAATCTATTCATTCTTTTTGAATTCAGATACTCTTAATATATTATGAATACTAACTGTTGTATAATTATTATGAACTGTTTCCTTTTCAATTCAACTTTTTTATTACTCTAAGAGTAAACTTTACAACTAAGGGTTTTTTTTTTTTGTCAGTTGTAGAGCTTGAACTCTGGGCCTGGGCGCTGTCCTTCAGCTCTTCAGCTCAAGGGTAGCACTTTACTACTTGAGCCATAGTGCCACTTCTGGCCTTTTCTGTTTATGTGGTGCTGAGGAATTGAACCCAGGGCCTCATGCATGCAAGGGAAGCACTCTACCATTGAGCCACCTTCCCAGCCCACAACTTAATGTTTTGCTGTGAGACTTTGAATGAATTAACTTTGCTTACCTTTTTAGCCTGTTTCTTCCCAAGTCCCTGCCTTCCATACTGATCACAGTTATGCTGACATGCTGGGCTCCCTTTGGTTCCTAGGCTGTTGTACATGCTGCTACCTTTACTCAGAATACTTTGTCTTCATCTCTTTATTTTTATTTTATTTTTTATTGTTATTATAAAGGTAATGCACAGAGGGGTTACAGTTATATAAGTCAAGTACCGGATATATCTCTTTTTGGACAATGTCATCCCTTTCCTTGATGTCCTTGATGTTTTCCCTTCTTGCCCTCACTCACAAGTTGTATAGTTCATTATCAATAACAGTTGCATTTGTTCACCCTTTCTTCTGATGGGCTTTTGACTCTCCTGACTTGGTGCTCACAAGGTCCTCTAATGTTCCTCTGCTACTCTTTCTGTTGTGGTCCAGAAAGAAACTGTTTGCTTAATTTTGCCTTATTTATAATGTCTAGACCTTTGAGTACGTTTGGAATGATCATCCAGTGCTTCTTTCTTATGGTTGCTCCTCTGCTGAGAAGCTCTGCTTTTGGGCTGCAGCCCCGTAGTTTACTCCCATATTTTAATCACTGAATAATAGTTACTGCATAGGTATTCCAACAGTTTGTTTATCCAGTCACCTGTTGAAAAGCATCTTGGTTTCTTCCAATATCTGGTAATTATGAATAAAGCTGTTAGAAATATCATTGTATAGATATAAGTTCCCAAACTCATGTAAGTAATTCTCTGGATCACATGTGGTAAGACTATGTTTAGCTTTGTAAGAATCTGCCGAACTGCTTTCCAAAGGGTCCATGCTATCTATCTTGCATTTTTACCAGCAATTAATTAGAGTTCCCCTGGCTCCACACCTTCATTCCGTGGCCTTCCTTTACATTTCAGACATTTTTAACTTTTAAGACAGGAAAATAAATAGATGTGGGCGCACATGCAATTGCTAAGTAAAATAAAAGCCATTCTGAAAGGCCAGATATTGTACAGTTCCAAATATATGACATCATGCAAATGCTTAAGCCATGGAGACAGTAAAAAGTTCAGTGGCTGATGTATTTATGATATAAGGGAAGAGGATGAGTAGGTGCAGCACAGGAGCTTTGAGTGCAGTGAAACTTTTGTGATGACATGATCATAATGAATCCAGTTGCATTTGCCAAAGCCTATAGAACTCTAAAATACAAAGTATGAAACTTAA